CGTAATATAATGATACTAACAAAGGAATTTAGGAAACACTGCTTTATTAATTATATAGTAGTTCTATATAACATGTGGCAGAAATAGGATATGCGCATTATTAAGTAAGCGGATGTGAACATGCAAGGCATGTAGTACTGCAGTTAAATGTTGCTTGTGTTTTTGAAAATCTTCATAAATATATGAAGAAGCACAGAAAAAGCAGGTAAGCTTAATAACAATAAATGATTTAAAAACTTCCACATAAACATCGCATTTTATGAACTTACCTCAATTTAATGAAGTCTTCTGTCATGAGCCGATCGACGGCAGTACAGCAGCAGAAGTGGTACCATTGCAATTTGCGTGATAACTCAGACTTAATTCAGTATTGGTATTGGAAGCTACAAAGGAAGTAGTTGCTTTTGAGCAGACGTTTTTGTCAGTGACATCACACAAAAACTAATCTCTCAATGTAGTAATCTTGGTGTACAACAGCTCTTTTTAAGTCCCCATCAGAAAGCACCTGGTTAATTACGATCTTATGAAGTAAATAACAATTCTCTTCTAATCGATCTTGCAGTAAAACTGTATTTCAAGATATCCTAGGCTTTATCAGACTTAGCCTCATTTTGTCGCAAAATTGCTTCTTAGGAAATTGAGTCACTGGATACTCCTGTAATATGTACTTGTATGATATAATATAGTTAGCGTAACCTTCATGGAAATAAAAAAAAAGAGTTTGGCACCAAATGATCTGGGCTTTTTATTTTCAGGGCTACATTTTACACCGGTGCATATTTTTTGTCTGAAGCCGGCTCTTGTATTTGGAATTTTAATATTGTTACGTTTTTCGTTTCTGACACCAGTTCTTGCGTTATTTTCTTCCTCACGTTCGTACGGGGTTCGTAGATTTGGAGTGAATAACGACGACACTGGATGAAGTATCGAAACACACTTTATTTATCAATATTAGTCAGGACAGCTCCAAAACACTTTTACAGTCGTCGAAGATCCACTATAAACACGCTGGAACAATCAGCGACACAGCCTTCAGGTTATCAGGCTATCACGGTGGAGACTGCTTTTTGCAAAGCACTCGTGGAGTTTGCGAGTAAATGCCAGTGACCCGCCTGCAGAGGAAAGCCATGGCGGAAGAAACGAAGACTTTGATGGACCTTTTAGCCGAGTTGAAAGCAGGACAGGAAGAGATGAAAGCTGAAATCAAAGCCGAACTGAAAGATATGAAAGCTGAAATGAAAAAGATGAAAGCCGGACAGGAGGAGATAAGGGCTGAGTTCAAGAGCGAAATAAAAGCCGTTCAAGAAAAGATGCAAGAAAAATTCGAACAGATGAAAGTGGAACAAGAAAAATTAAAAGCGAGATCGTGGAGCTTAGAGAGGATACTAGAGAAAAAATAACAACTGGTGTCAGAACAGGGAAAGAAAAAAAAAACACTTTTACAGTCGTCGAAGATTCACTATAAACACGCTGGAACAATCAGCGACACAGCCTTCAGGTTACCAGGCTATCACGGTGGAGACAGCTTCCTGCAAAGCACCCGACTCTGCTTTCCGGAGTACAGCTCTCGACTCTGCTTGGTCGTTCTCGGAACTCCACGTACTCTCGAGTCTCTCCGCGCTACAACTCGAGATGCACTCGACGACAAACGAGCAGCTCCCGACGTTTCGGTTCAGTCGTTCCCGGAGCTCAACACGCTCTCTCGACGATGCACTAACCGCGATACCCTAAGAGACTCCTTCGGTGCACTCGACGACCCACTCGGCACTCGTTACCCAGCTGTCAACTCGATCGACTCCGCACGGCTTGCTAGACGAGGCACACTCTCTGAGACGCACTCTCAATACTACCGACTGATTGCGAACCAGCAGAGTTTATATAGCTTTCGGCTTGTGTTGGAGAACTTTCTGGGCTAAACCGGTAAGAATTCGTTCCAGAAGGTTCTCGAACAGTCCATGGCATATCGCCAATTTTGTCGGCAAATGGAAGATTTCTCGCCAAATGTGGCAACCCTGCCTTTCCTTGCCATTTTATGGCAACCTTAAAACTGCTTTGCGGGGAAGCCATCTCACCGCGCCTGTACATTTCGTCACAATATTATAACATGCTATATTATACTTTATTATAAAATGCTTCTATTTTAGATTAGATGTTATTATAATAGTAAACTAGCTGATATTTTAAAAGCATATAATTTTAGCTACTCTATCACGCCGGAGACTTGTTTTGTTCTAAATGACCTATGTGAATATTATTATCTTGGCGCGTTAAGAATGTAGGAAAAGCATGTAAAATTTTTTCATTAAGAATCAGAAAGATATGTAAATTTTCTATACCCATTAAAAATAAGAGGAATTGAAAAGGAATTTTGAATTAATTATCATGTTGTTTGGATAATACTGGCGATTTTTAAACTTGCCTTTAAATTGAAAGTAATTACTGTTGTTTTCAATGTTTTATACAAAATTTTACATGCTTAATAATTAATGCATATTTTTTAACAATTCTCCTACATTTGTTTCAGAATATTATACGATTTTAAAGCATGTAAGCATGATTTTAAAGCATCGTCCGGGCGCAATTCCACGGCAAACTACGGCCACATGTAACCAAGATGACATTGCAGAAACTGAGTAGTTTGAGATACGAGACTCTCCTGATCTTTTATCCATTGACTTCCATTTTTTTTCAAGCAGCTAGATACTTTTTATGCAACAAAACTTTCAAGAATAAAACCGAGGTGGAAGCCTCGATTCAAAGGTTTCTTAGCATCAAAGCCAATGGACTTTTACAAATAATAAATAATCTTGTTCATCAATGGCAGAGATGCCCAATTTTTCAAGAATTATATAATTTTAACATACGTAGCATTCATTTCAAGATTAACTATTTCTTTCTGAAATCTGTCAGCATTTTTTTAAACAACTTGATAAAACTGAATTCGAGATAGGCATTCTTAATTTTCATTACCAGCAAAAATACTGGGGAAAATAAGTATTGTTTGTTTCTTATTGATCCTTATTTCATTAATATACACAAGATGATTGTAGTCACAAACACATTTTGAATGATGTCATCGTTTATTTACAACATTAGGCAGAGAGTAAATGCTTGCCAAAAAATACACAGGTATATTGAATTATAATTTATGTGTACGGGTATGCTGAAGCTTAAAAGGCTCGAAATATTTTTATTTCTGTTTGCGAACTATGCTCATAACATAAATTTAAAATAAATTCCTTTCAAAAACTTTTTACTCAGATTGCCGAGGTGAAACAATCATAAAATTTGAAAAATCCCCCCGTTAAAGATCCAAAATAAAAAGTATAAATCGAGTATTTATAGTGACTTGAAAATAATCTCTTCTTTTTAAGGATCTCAACTGAGTTGCGGAATAGTAGATTTCAACTTACTCATTATATATACGAAAATATTCGCTAAAATACGTATCAGTGTTCACAAAGAAGTTAGCATTATCATCGCAACATTGGAAAATCCTGGTAATATATATATACTCGTCTGCAAAATTCAGAGAACTTTATGTTTTATGTCTGAAAAACTAATGGACATATTTTAATGAAATTTTATATGAATATGCATTCATAACACAGAAGGAGATATACCATTCAAAAGTCATTTTATGTACGCATGATTACCAGCAAAGTATACTGCAGGCATGTTCCACGTTGTGACATCAAATCTAAAATGCGTTTAATAAGGATATGGTTCCCTTTCACAATCAGACAGGTCACGCAGCTTGACGGCATACTGGACAGGAGACAGTACAGGATTTCCTGTGACAGTCCATCCCACATTTCCAGCAAGGAAGTTTTCAACTCTGGGATGGTTCTCCGAATGGGATGGCGCAATGAAATTGTTCTTCCAAGAGCGTCCCAGACATGGTGAGTAGGGTTAAAATAAGGGGATCTAACTGTCCAGTCCATGAGGAGAATACCCTCACTTTCTAGTTAATCATCGACTAGTTGATCCTTATGCGGACAAGCGTTGTCTTCCAGATCTCCGGGCACAGCAACCTGGAAAGTTCGACTTACTGTTCAACCTGGAAAGTTCGACTTACTGTTCAACCTTCGACTTACTGTTCAACCTGGAAAGTCAACATAGGGTTCGAAGATCTCCTCTTTATGGCATTCAGACAGTCTTTGTCAAACACATGAAGGATGTGCGGCCGTCCAACATAATTGCCTGCCCAAAACATTATACCTCCACCACCATAATTATTATTTTCCTTGATGAGAGAGTAATGACAACATGTTAGAGATTCTCTCAAGAAACAAGTACGCCGAGAACCAGGGTCTAGGCTGAATCTCGACTCATCTGCAGAAAGCACGGTGCTCCATTGAAGTCTGATCTAAGGCGCATGTTATCTGCATCAAGCTACTGCGCGCTCTCGTATGTGCTGCAGCAAGTGGGACGCAGGCTGCGGATTGAATCGGACTATTTCCATTTCGACGCCAATCCTCCACCGCCATTTCGACGTTGAGTTTTCGCCGTTATGCCATATTTTCTTAAATGCTTATATTTTATCTTGCCATATCATATAAGTTTATTTAGTTTAATAATTTTGTTTAGTAATGTGCTAATAATATTCCAAAGTAATTCCATTTTTCATTAAGTTTTCATAAAAATATAAATTTCCTGGTTGCATGGGTGATTTCTCTGAACTAGCTGAAACTTAAAATTTCAAGAAATGTTGATGAATCATATAAACAACATTGCATCTGCATAATTTTAGGAAGGATAAAATAACTTCTGTTATAGCAGATGTTACGTAATGCTGTCAATAAACTTCGGGACATATCCACGAGATTTTGTTTTATGAATAACTTTGTTGAATGAACACGAGACTTTGTTTTATGTATTCTTTTTTGTGGATGGCATAGTTTTCGGCGTTGCCATGCACGTTCTGATCCGTGTTTGCTTAGTGATATAAGCGTTCTATGAATCGAATGTTGATATTAATTGAATTATATATTGTATTTTTTTATTTATTTAATAATATCCTAGTAGAGAATTCCTGCTTTAATTCAAGGAAACTGTGAAACTGCTGATGTCAAGTGTTAACAAAATTGTTATTCGTCAAGAAGCATGTGCAGAATCCAAGTAGATAAAATTTATTTCTTTTTCTATAAATATTGAAAGTATAAACAAATGTTCTAATAGTAGACTCGTTGTGTCTAATTATTATTAAGTTTATATACGTATATTAAGAGCATGTGTAGAACAACCGTTGACGAGTAGTCTCGGTGTAGTTCTGGTTTTGGTTTTGAATTTTCGTTACAAGTGGCTTCCGCGACAGGATGCAATGAAGTTTCTATTAGAATTATTTTGTTGAATGGTATTTTGTGAATTAAAGCTGGTTTAATTGATCGTTTCATTATGGATCCTTTAACTGCAAAACGCGGGGGATTGCGTTCTTCCTTTACCAAGACTGTTAATGTTTTAAAAAATGAAATTGGTAAGGATTATGTTTTAGTAGGTATAATTAAAGATAAATTTACAAAGTTGCAAATGTTACAGAAAGATATTGAGGAACTTAACGGACAGATTTGGAATTCTATAATTTCGACTGATGTAACGCCTGAAAAAGTTAACGATGAAATGGAAAGCTGGGATATTTATAAGGATGAATTCATTACCATTTCTTCGCTTAGTTAAGTGAGAATTTAGGTGCCTTTAGAACAGGATAAATTTAGAAACTAGGATCGCAAGGTACTGTTTCTAGTAATTCACCTCGTAACACTATATTCGTTAAAGCTCCCAAAAATAGAGCTTAAGAACGTTCGATGGAGAATTATTGAACTGGCTTTCCGTTTTGGTCTCAGTTCGAAAAAATACACGAGGACCACTGATTTGCACGAAAGGTGACAAATTTCAGTATCTTGTGCAAAGTATGAAACAACGGACGCGCGCTAGAGACTTTATTGACAGTTACCTCAATGTCTGGGGAAAATTATCCAAAGCTATTAGTGCTCTTAAAGAACGTTTTTGGGAATCATGGTTTATTAATTGAGGTTATACGTGAGAGAGCTTGCAAAGTTGATTGTAATGAATGTTAAGACAGGCAGTAGTGAAAAATTACCATTGCCTCCTCAATTATTTGATAAGATTGAAGCACAACTAAGAGCTCTCGAATCCTTAGATATTAAAACGGGAAAAGCAATGCTTGTTGGTTATATCCCATGGTAGAATCATGCCTCTCGGAGGAAGTCCTCAGAGCCTTGGCAAAAGAAGCCCGCTTTTTGGAGAAGTAAACGAAAGTCAGGAATATTTCTCGCCTAAACTAATTTGATGAAATTTTTAAGATGTGAAGTGGAAGGGGAGGAAAGACTTAAGTTAGCGTGGAGTGGATTTGAAATTTTTGGCAAAAAGACAAGTATTGCAATAAATCGAAAAGGGATTTAAAAGGCAAATTTAAATTCGAATAACGGTTAACGAACTGTCCCTACGGCGGCAGGTTTCCTTACGACGAAAGATAATAACTGTATTTTTTGCGATAAACTACATGATAGTAAGGATTATTACGAAGCACGCTCTCTATCATTAGACAAGAAAAAGAACAAAATTAGGCTTAAGAGGTGTTACCTAAATTGCCTTTCGTCTGGACATGTTGCTAAGTCGTGTAAACAGTTTGTAGGTTGCTATGCGTGTCGTAAGGCTCACACAATTTCTCTCTGCCCGGATCTGCAGACACAGAAAACGCAGGAAAATGCAACAGAACCAGACAATGTTCAGGTAACTACGGGAGGGATGTGTTCCACAGAGATAGCTCTCATGACAATTAAAGTCAATGTGCTAGGGAAATCAGGCACGAGAGAAGTACGAGCGTTTCTCGATTGTGGATCACAAAAATCGTACATTTTGAAGTCTATGGTACAGGAATTAGGACTAATTCCCATTGCAGAGGAAACTGTAGCTCACACGTTTTTTGGAGAGATTAAAATTAAACCGAACGTACATAAAAAGTATCGGATCAAGCTACGCTCTCTCCATCCTTATATGAGAAAAGAAATGGATAGTAATACATAATGGAAGATAAATAGAAGTTATACATAGCATAAAACTTTGCTCTTCGTAATAACGAAATACTATCAGTATTAGCTGCTGAATATATTACACATAACATTTATTGAATATATATTAGTCAAAGAGATTATTTAAAACATAAAATAAGGATATGAGTTATTAAAAATTACATTTATTATTCCTAAATTATTCAATTTAATAAAAAAACACAGTTATAATTTGTCACAAATTAATGACCTTATGAAGCATAAAATGGTAGCGCATTAAGAAAAGACTATTTGTAAAGCTGCAAGAATCATAAAGTTATAAGATATTGTCTCTCTCTTTCTGCATGCCTTCGTGGTGCAACGGTAGCACACACAGCGCGTATTCGAGATGTCCCGGTTCAAGTCCGGACGAGGACATTGCTCATTTTTCATCTTTCCTACTTCAAAAATCCTAATAACTCTACAAATTGAAGATCATTTTTCTCAGAGTGGCAACACTTACAGATGTCATTTACTCTAACGTAGCGTCATTTACTCTAACGTAACTTAAAACATCACGGACTCCAAAAATTGAAAGACTTTTTTTACAGCAATGCAAAGACTGTGAACATTTTTAACATCATTACAAAAATAAGATCCCTTTCTGAGACAGTAAAAGATAGTATTTCCTGGTAATGAATACTGATACATGTAATAGCTGCTTTTAAAGTTTGAAATTCTTGTTTTGCTGCTAAATTTTATAAAATAAAATGTTTTAAATATACCCATCCTCAAGATAATATACTGTAGCAGTCACACACCTCTTCAACACACGTGCAGTGTTTCAAAACATTTCTAAACACCTTGCTGTTTGTAACATTTTCGAAGCTGCTTTTACAACATCTCACAGAAACCTTGCCCCTAAAACACTGCTTACACTCAGGGTCAGAACAAGTGAGCGCTATGTGAGTACTGACGCCGTTGACAAGGACACGTTGCTTCTGCACAAAATTCTCACGGAAGACATGCGATATTTATGTTACAGCTCAAATGTCGAATTGTTCATGATGTATTGTCTTCGATTTAACGACTAGGTCTCCAGCATCTCTCAGAAGCAAAATAATGCACTAAATTTTTCTTTTCTATTTCGAGGGATTGAGACCGATTGCCACAAAAGCTCCGTACAATCAGACTAAGGTCCGCTTTATCAGACCAATTTTCATTATTAAAATGACACTCGGAATATGTTAACTAGTCTCGCTGGCGTACCTGATAAGATACATAAATCCATAACCTTTGCAAAAGTACATGAGGAGTGCATTTATGCCAGGAGAAGCATTTATGCCAGTATAGTGAAAATGCCTTTATTCAAGTTTAAAGTAAATACTCATGTTTGATAAGTCACAAATTTGCGAGAAAGGGGCTGAGAAGCAAATCTTTTACAGTGATGTCAAATAACAGAAGCTTCCAGTTTCTTCTTGTAGTACTCACTCAGTGTTACTTTAACAAATGATACAGTATTATGATTCTCAGAAAAGAACTTATATGATAAAAAAAGGAATGGTTAATGATATCTGCATCCTTTCTTCGCAAGAGAATCAAATCTTTCGTTTCAAGGAATGCCATTATGGCTCTAATTCCATAACAAATCATTTCTGAGCGGGAGTAGATGATATTCACTAGTTTCAGGTTTCACTTCGGGAACGAAAAGCGTTATTTTATTATTAGGAAAAAGAAACACATATAGCGGCCTAGAGCCGATTGAGAAAACCGCTCGCTTTAAGATATCTTGATACTGGGAAGTTTACGAACTGTTTATTTAATGTTTCTGATAGCAACTTCAAAATCTGAAGCACGGAAGATTTGTGGCTCTTGCATATGTCCCCCGTAGTAAAATTAGCTCCAGGCGCATTAGTTTCAGAAGAGCTATCTGCATAAAAATACAATTTATTCTATGCTGGTTTATTTAATGAAAGTAATTTCGAAAGTATGTGATGAAAAGCCTTGTCTGTAGAAAGTTTATAAGAAAAGCCTTGCATTTGTTTCCTTCATATCGATAAGAAATTTTAAGTTTTATTGTCAAAACAACTGTAGAATAATGATGAAAATAACTTCAGATAATAACGTTTGAAAGTATAAGGTTATAAGGTATTTCTACCGCCTTCTTAGCGTGCCTTCGTGGTGTAGTGGTTCTGCACGCTGGGCCTGTATTCCAGAGATCCGTGGTTCGACTCCCGGCAAATGCGTTGCTAATTTTTCATCTTGCCTGCTTCTAAAAAATACCTAATGTCTCTACAAGTTAATGATGCAGGTATTTTTTAGCAGAAAAGTGGAAGTATTTTCTATTACTCATCATTTTCTTCTGTCTTTAAGCATAATGAGATCAGTCATATAAATTTTGTGGTTAACAGCAAGAACTATCTCAAAGTTTTTGCGGTCAGAAAAGCAATTAGGCAACTAAGCCAAGGCAACGGTTCTTTCCAGGGAGGTCTTTTAATCATATGCGGATATGTGGATAGTTTTAGAAAAGGAAAGGAATTTAAAGCCACCATAATTTTTCCCTGCTATGACTGGATTTCTTGAAGCTGTCAACTTCCTTGGCAACAGCAGCAGAACCTCTGTCATCGATTTATTATTCTACAGCAGAAACTCTTTCGTCGATTTACTGTTCGAGAACAGAAATAGTTACAGTTACATAGGGCCGGATATAGTTAGAGTAACACAGAGACTGAATCAGTTTTAGTTGCTTGGTGATCGGAACAAAATATCGCTAAATTTCACCACAAAAATACGTTTCAAAAACCATGCCAATTTACCCCTAACCTGCCATTTACAACAGCGGTTTTAAATGGACAGACAGGCCTCTGGAACTTTATTTTTCCTGCGAAGAAGCTTCACTCTCTTGAGGCCCTATATAAAACACTACAATTTTACATATACTTTCACTAAAATTATTTACATATTTGCAAAATTCGCAATATATATATATATATATAATTTAAGTATAGAAAATTTAAAATCAAAATAAAATTTAAAGCAAATTTAGATATTATACTTAGATATGGCAGAACAGAGCCAAAAGCAGCATTTATTACAAAATAATGCAAACAATTACTGCACAAAATTGATATCAGTGAAAAATCTTTAAAAATTGAATCATTTCATTAAAAATAAATTTAAAATAAAATTAAAGCCAAAAACACCAGATAAACCAAACAGGAACAAAAATGATATTCAATCAAAAAATTACTTTAAAAATGTCGAGATATTTATTCTTTATTTCTTTTTTTTAGCCCAACGAGCGTTAGCCCAGAAGGGCTGTTAATTTCGTTTTGGCATTTTGCGTCGATTCGCTTTTTGCGTTGATTCACTTTTCAAATTGTTGCCACCAACTTTTACAGTCCTGTATTATATTTAAAGAAATTAAATAATGAAGAAATAACATTAATGTCTGTATGTTTCTCGAATTGTGATAAAACAACGGTACCTAGAGCCATCAAATTTTGAATAACGTAATCCTGCAGCGAATATGAGCATCTGGAAGGCCTAATTTGAAAATTGTTTTATTATCTACTAGCAGCTACGCTGCCAGCCTTCGTCTACCTTCGTCTTTTTAAATGTACTGGAAAAATGCCTGAAGGGAACACCAAACGTTAAATTTAAAAATTGCACAGAATTTTACTCTGCAGAACAACTTCATTAAAAAAATGTATTACATATAACAAAATTTACAATAAAATGAGCAATATTCCTTAATACAAATATTAATTATCCTAATAAATAAATTAACATATTCCCTTTGCCTTCTCTCAACAAACGTCCAGTTTCCAATAGAAACATTAAATTTAAAAACTTCAGAATTATTGCCCTCAGTTTTCGAAGTGGTAACACTGCTGATTTTCAACAGTCAGCAGTCCAGTATACAACTGAATGAAAAACTGTTGCCAAAACCACATTTCTAAAAGAATGAAACTATTCAAAGTGACGCGATAAAACCGGAAAGATAAAATTTGAAAAAAATCTGATTTTAATTTTGAAAAAATGGCTTTGAGGTGCACTGACTCTTGTCTAGATGCACCTATATACCAAATTTCGTAGCCTTGGGTCTATTAACTTACGCGCCGCACGAACGAAATGCAAACAGACTCTTTCTTTTATTATATGTAAAGATTTCATATTTTGTCAGATATTAAACAATTTTTGATTAAGAAACTGAACGATTCTCAAAGCGAGGAATGGCAACACTGAACGAAAAAAAAACATTTTTATCTCCAGTGCAACAGACTGTCTGTTGATAATCCTAAAGGTATGCTCATTTTAAAATTATTTTACGATACTGCTGTTGAACTGAATGTTATGGTTCAAGTGGGAAGAACATGATATTTAATAAATAAAGGTAACACACAAAACGTTAAAAAAACGCCCCTTTGGGCGTAATCTAAAATCTGAAAGCTTTCCGATTTTTTTTTTCTTTTGTTTTTTCATTTTTGACTAAAAAAAAGGAAATGAGAAAAACTTATTTTCTTTCTTAAAAAATATATAATAATTTACTGTATTTTTAAATTTCAACCAACTGCTTTTCTAACTCCGGCCTGCCAGATTTGGTCTAACAACGAGAAATTTAATTTCTTTTTCCTGACTAAAAGTTTTCTAAATATTAGTTAAATTTCTTGTCAATTAGTTAGCTCAGAAAAAGGCTAGTTTGCTGTTACATTTTTGGAATGTATTTTCTCCTTAAGAAGATATCTCGGGAAATGTAAAATACATTTATTTTTATTTAAAAAAATGTTTGTTCATTTAAAAATTTTGGTTTATTCGTATTCCTTAAATTTTTAAATGATTTTTTTTTTATCAAAATTTCACTTTTGTTCAGGTTTGTTTTATCTGGTGTTCTTAAAATTCTTCTCAGTTTCAATTTTGTTTTCAATTTAAAGATATCATAAAATTATTTAATTTGTTTTTCCACTTACATCAGTTTTGAGTAGTAATTGTGCACATTGTTTTCTACTAATTCATTTTGATTTGTATATTTGAGTTTTCTTTAAATTTAAATTTAATTTTAAATTATTGCCACTAAATTACTGCAACTTTCAGCGCGTGATTTATCTTTCATTTTATCTTACCTGTTATTTTTTATTTAATTTATATGTTAATTTATTTAATTTATATTATATATAGAGAGATATAGTACATAACGGCATTTCCTGTTGGAACGTAGAGACGAGATCTCTACAATGATTTTAGCATGAAATCCTGCTAATTTTTCTTCTCTCTTAGAAGAAAGAAGAAAAAAGATTAGTGTTATTCCATTCAGTTTCATACTTTTATAAAATAAATGCATTAAACGTAAAGCGATTTTACTCACAAGCAAGTATTTCTATCTTTAATAAGGCAACAAAAGTTACATCATTGTATGATAATGACACTAATATAAAAACGTTCTGGACGTAACAATGAACTACTAAAGCTCATCCACCTGTCGTTCTGACTGCAAACTACTACGTGTTTATATTTTGGCACGTGTTCTGACATCCTCTAGAAACTTCAGTAATTAGAATTTGTCATCTAGCAAACTCAAGGACAAATATTGATGTCATAGTTTTACAATTTGTAGCAGCTTCTGGAAAAAGTTAATTGAACCCCGATTTTATCCTATCAGTTTCGTTTTTTGGGCTCAGTTGAAATATCCCCACCCAAAGAAAAATTATAATTAGACACACCAAAAAAATGGATTTTCTTTAGTTGAGTTGAAAGGATGAATGAAAAGCTGAATGAAGTGATACAGCGACGGAATGCAAACAGCTGCAATTAAATTAAAAGAAGTCAAGTAACAACAAATGCAAGGACTTTAATGAATAGAATAGATTGTGAAGTCATCACATGCGTAAATTATAAAATGCGCCCAAGGACATGGATATGAAGTCCTCCTCTTGAAAATCAAATAGAATAAATGTAAAAGAGCAATTCCTAACTAATGTAGTTAAAAAGAGAACTCTTTTTTTTTATTTCGAACATCAGCAAAAAGAGTTATATTAAAACTTAACATTAACCCTTTTCTATTAATTTAAAAAAATGTAAACATATTATTACTTAAAAAATGTTAAAAATTATACTCAACGCACTTTTTTTTCTTTTTAGGCAGAGAAGCTTCTACATTTGTTTCTGCATTTCTTTCCCGATTGGAAAATGAAAGTAGTAGTAATAGAAAAATATCAAAAAGTTTAATATTTGAAAAAGCGATTCCAGTTGGGAAAATGTGTGTGTATTTTTAAATTCATATATGTACATAATGTTAAAAACTATTACAAATAACAGGTTATTTAATCATTAATTTTTTATTTTTATTTTTTCAAATAATTTTTTAAATTATTTACTTTTTATTTTATTTCATTTCTTAACTCTATTATAAAATATTTTAATAGCCTTACATTATTGTTTTAATTATTTTTTTAACTTAACACTTACTTTTGCATTTTTTCATGAACTTATAATTATACAGATATAATTCACAAACGTAGCTCTGCTGAAAATTTTCGACTGCTCCTTGAAAAAAGACAAAGAATTTTCATCTAATTTCTTATATTATTATCGGGTTTTAACGGAAGTTTCCCGCCACCGCAAATATTGTCTGCGCAAATCATTACTGGCGTGTTTAATCATATTTTGTCATATGATTTTTGGCATATTTTGTCATATGATTTTTGTTACATGATTTTTGGCATTTGAAAGAAAGAGACTTGTTTTAGAACATTGTGCTGTGAAATTTTTTAAAAAATTATTGTTATCATAAATTACAAAGTGTCTGAAACGGAACTATCATCGTATACCAGATAAGTACCATCATGAATTTACAGTTCTGTTGCAAAACGTCAGATGTTACCAAATCATGTGTATAGCTTTAAGTACTAATGTTGTATCATATGACACTGTGGAAGGTTTGGTACCAAAAGTTCAAAATCAAGAACTATGACATTCAATAAGCTGAGCGCTCTGGCCGGCCTACTGATGTTGATGTCTGTGATAACTTGTGGAAGAAGATCAGTATGCAACCACTCAAGAATTTGTTAAGAAGTTAGGCGTAAGTGCCATGTCCTTTGCATCGCATAAACTTGACATACAATTTCAATCGTTGGGTGCCGCATGAGCTGACTCAGGCAGATAAGAACAGACGTGTTCGAGTCTGCACTAATCTGCTCGAATAAACAGGCAAGGACAAAATTCTGGACTGGATCGTTCACTTGTGATGAAAAGCGGATTTACTTCAAAATGTTAAGCCAAAGCAAAAGGTTAAGTTGTTGACGCTGCTACCAAGGAAAACGTCTCACTGAGTTCCGGCGCAAAAAGATAATGTTCCATCAAGATAATGCAAGACCACATGTACCTGCATTCACCGGCTAGACTCTGTACGGATTCGAATGGCATCTTTTGCTAAAACCACCATAGAGCCCCTACATCGCTCCTTCGGCTTCTATTTTTTCTTCCACCTGCAGCTACATCTTGCTGCTGCTATCTTCCATTGTACACAGGACGTTCGAAATGAGGTTGATCTGTTTTTGGACTCGCGACCACCAAGTTTCTGGGCCAAAAGCTTTAAAAACTACCAAAACTTTGGCAAAAAAATCTTTCATTTTCTTCATTTTCATTTCATTTATCTTTCATTTTATCTTACCTTAGATTTGAGTGGTGATTACTACCCGCATCCATGTCTTCTTTTCTAACATTTTAAGAACCTTTTTCGGCGTTACAATCAGCTAGTTTTACGTTATTTTCCTGAGTTGCTTTGTTTTTGCTTCAATTTTTATCTGTGTTCTTTCTGTTACAAAGTTTTATTTAATTATTATATCTTGATTTTATATAATGAAAAAAAAAAACTTAAAATAAACAATCAATAATAAATTTAACAAAAGCTAAATTATTCTGAGCCAGATTTTCACCTTAGACACGTCGCATTGTCTCTACTGCATATATCCTATCAGCTCGCTTACTGTTGCTCTTTCTTCCATGGAAATTAATTGTTATGAAGATAGAGAAAGGGCAGAAATGAAATCGAGAACGGGCGGATTCTGAGGTTTTTTTTCTCGATGTTTTCATTAAAAATATTTATCTACAACAAATATCATTTGGTCAAAAAAATAAAGAGTGTTTCTACTTGCCATGATAGTAAATATCACCGTCTTCTCTTCAAAATTATTACGCATGTAACGTTATTCTAATTCCTCACTTCTTATAATTACTAAATTCTTCCTTTCTAATTTCATTAACTTTTTTCCTCTAATTCATTCTAAAATTTACTACGCCCTGTTCTACATCAATTAAAATTTAGCATGCGGTTTTAAGTTAAAATTTAATTAACCAAAAAAGAGTTTTTTTTCCTCCTTAAACTAAGCAAAGTAGAAATCATAGTACTTTAAATAAAAGGACTTTTTAACTAATCACCATCAGATAGAAAAGGACTCCTTTCAATTACCTGCTACTTGGTCACTTTTACTTGGACCATCTCCGAGTTACTTATCACATCTATATATTTCTTCATTTTCCTAGGAAGGGTGGACATCAGTAAGAGAGGAATAGAGAGAAAGCATTGGGATAGCTTACAGAGGTAACTGGAAAGTAAACAACCCTTTTAACCTAACTTAAGACGTATGGCTGAATCGTGTTTTCGGAAACTTCCTTGAACAGGATGCTTCTAATCCTTATCAGTTGACCTACGTTTCGCAGGACAATTCAGTTTGAAAAAACTGGTCTAAAAGCGAAGCTTAAAAGAATTAGATACGGTATACTTTCCAAAAATCGATGTTTTTTAGTTCTGATTTTTAAAAAAGGCGCTGCCTTTTTTTCTTTCTTGCTAATTTTTGTATTTGAATAAAATAAAAAACGTAAGCTCAAGCATTTCTTTCCGAAGTCTCATCAGTCAGCCTCAGCTAACAAAGAAAATTGTCAAGACTGGGGAATATTTGACATGCAGTTTATTGATTTGAACGCATCCATAAGCCACTTAAAAAAGCAAATTCATAGATCAAGTAATCCATGTGAATGTTCAAAAAAAGTGCCTCAAGATGTGAAAAATTTAATTTTCTGCTGCCCTACTTTTTATGGAGCGAGGGTATGCCTTCTGAACCACTTAAAAAGCTGGACATGACTTGACCAGTGAGCTTAGCTGTTCTGGCGAAGTTGCTGTTGTGTTTATTATTATTGTGGTTATTGTAATAATTATTATTAACGTATGTAATTTTTAAGTGACTTTTTTTTGTAAGCTCTGTGTTTTGTGGTGCATCGTTTTGTGCTTTATGCGTTCAAATAAAAAAAAATCGTAACTCCTCATGGCTAGTAAATACAAAATCAGTTAAAATTTAACTATCCATTTAAATTTTCTGAAGTTGCAGTCTCGAATAGAACAAGGTAACAACGCAAATTAACGTGCCCAAACCACAAATGTTTTGAAATAACTAACAAATTAAAAAAAAAGATGCTATTAGATAAGAAGGGGGCAATTTTTGATGACATAGTCTGTTATTAGTGTGAATAGATTTTCTCAATTTATTCAGAATCCCTTCAAAATCGAAACACATAACGGAAGAAGTCTCAGAATTTCAAAATGTAATAAGTAATATTTTAATTAATGATAAAATTATTATGGAAATTAGTAATATTTTTATTTTACTTCTAATTTTACTACATTGCTAACCTACATTTCTTCTGTAGAAGAAATATCCTAAAAAACATTCGCAGTCACGTCTAAACATTATCACTTTACAATAAATCAATAAAGAAGATAAAAAAGGTATGTTTCTAATAATAAGGATCTGGATCTGATTAAGAACTGTCTGAGGTTTTGATACCAGCATTCATTTAGACCATCTGACACTCTCTTTCCCGGTTGTAATGTAACATAATATTCCTCATTTGTTCTTTAAAATTTTGCGACATTAAATATACGTACGTTAAAGGTACTCCATCATTACTAAATTTATAGAATGATTTCGCAGTCTCTAAAATCTGTCCCCTAAGTCTCATGGTATGAGCCTTTGTTACGATAGCTGCTTTTTGAAGAAAGCCGAAACATTGAGCAGATTTCCTTCAGTTGTGCTGATTCAAAACACAGAATTTAAAAAATGTATGGAATGTTCTTTTATTTTTTAACTTAAAGGTATAAATTTTTTAAATGAAGCAAAAACACTTAAATATTAGTCAACGTAATCCTTAATATTAATACGCTTATATATATATATATTTTTAATAGCATAAAAGTGCTATGTTAGTCGCTTGCAGATCAAATAAAATTCTGTAATCTTTGTTTTACCTTATAGATGTTACAGAAATGCCAGAAGCTGCACACACTTGAATTGGGTGCATATAATGCCCTTTCAATTACTTTAAGATGACACGTGCACATATACTCAATAGTTTAACTTATATTAAGTAAAGTATGTTTATCTTTGCTTCACGAAATGACGTCGTGATGTAATAATAAACGGCCCTCTTGCATTACGTAAAGGATTTGTTCGTAATCCAGGAAGGCACATTTATAACTAACCAGGAATGTTCTTTTTAATGGTTCATCAAAGTAAGCAATTTTTTGAGTTTATACGCACGAAAAGAGATTAACAGAACTTTTTAATGAATGCGCTTTTGTTCTGCTGGTATTTGGTCATTTTCATGGATTCAAACACTGACTTTAAAGTGGAAATAACATAGTATACAAGTTCGTTATTTATTACGAACTTAAAGGTTTTCTTAGAGTACTGCATATCGCTTTACTTGTTTATTAACGTTATGCCGTCTGAAATGATGTCAATAAACCGCAAAATTAAACTCATAGTAATGACGATCAAGAAATATTATTACTGCACTTCTGAACTTAAAATAAACTTTAATCATACACCTATGCTTTTCTCAATTAACGAGTATGTTCTCTTTCATATAAAATATCATTCATATAAAAACTATCTTTTTAAAATTTAAAAATCTAAACACAAAGGTTACATAAGACTGCCTTCAACAAGTACCCTCTTCAAACATTGCAATTAATTTTGAAATAGTAGATCGTAGGATGGTAGTATTCTTGTTATGATTGAATTGTTAAATCAGGTGAAAATTTTGCTTCGACATGCATTGCTTATTTATTATTATTTTTATTATTAGTTGAAAGATATTACCAGCAAAATTGTTTTGCTGGTAATATCTTTCAACTAATAATAAAAAATGCATTTCATGCATTTCAAGCAAATGCATTTCAAGCAAAATGCATTTCATTTT